AACATACTTCCTCCTATCAATATAATATTACTAGACTTCCTTCTATTTTTTTCTCTCTTTCTCTTTCTATGCATTATTATCGTCTTGTAAAAAGTCAAAAAGAAAAAAAAGAAGAAAAAAAGAGATTAAATCGAAAAGTACAATGACAGATTAACCTTATAAATCTATCCTTTTTTTTAATATATATTTTTTTCTATAGAAAAATTCTAACAAAATGAAATAAAATTGAACCCATTCGAGACCAACCTGCACACCTTGTGTGCAATCATACCTAGCTATTGTTAATTATTTTAAGTAAGATATTCGTCGAAATAAAACTTTGCTTTTTTGTATAAATATATATTAAAATATATATTAAATTTTAGATAATAAATATATATTACATTTTAAATACTAATTATTTTTAATTTTAAATACTAAATATACATAAAAATATATAAATATATCTTTAAAGTATAGAAAAACAAAATTTTGCATTACAAAATTGTGCAACATAATAATAAAAAGAAATGACTTCTTAAACCCTGTTTAAAAAACTCCATGATCTCGAATGTCTTATAAGAAATAATAATACCTGCTGTAAAAACCCGCCACGTGTTGTTACAAAAACTTATTATTAATTCAAATGAAGAAGAAAGTTTATTATTTCTTTTGACACGATGACTGAATTAAAGAAGACAACCCCTTACACTTTGTGTTTAACGTACTACCTACGACAGGGGGTAAGTAGGTGCATATAAAACATAGGTGGTAGGTAGGTATGTAAAATGTCATCGTGGTGTCGTAGAGTGAGAAGAAAGAACGGAATGTGAAGAATCCGTAATCCATATACATACACACAACAAACACGTATAGGGTGGTTGTAAAAGTACGACAATACGCGTATTACGAAAGAAGTAGAAAGATTGACGACCTCCCTTCAACCTACCCTCAACTCCCACCTCCACCTTCTCATCCTTCTCTTCTTCATCTTCCTTTTTTCATACACGTGCATGTTCTGCTTATTAAAAGAAAAGAGTTGAAAAAAAAAGTAGGCTCATGTGTGTGTGTGTGAAAAAAAGAACGAAGATAGAAGCTTCTTTTATCATCCATACGAAGAGAAAGACAGATATGCTTTTCACCTTTCCATCGTTTATTGTACACCAAAGAAAAAAAGAGATAGGTTGAGAGAAAGTGTATGAAAAGAAGAAGAAGAAGAAGAAGAGTAAAAAAAAAAAGGTTCATCGTTCCTGTTGCTGCTGTTAGGCTTTGTCGAATGAACACAACACACAACTACTCTCACTGACAAACTAGCAAAGGTGGTGATGATCACCGTTGCTCACCTCTTTTCTTTTTCTTTTTTTTTTTTTCTTTTTCTCTCAACCTTGGATAAGAGTCTTTTTTTATTATCTTCATTGATACGTGTCAGTATTATTTTTTATATTAATAGTAACATTTCCTTTTGAACAAGAGAAGAGGTTTTCCTTTCACCGTTTAAAAAATCGATAACGGGGGGGGGGATTAAATGTTATTGGAAATAACTCGATTAATTATTCGATTAAATGATATCATATTGCAACGTAAATTAAATAAATATTTCCTTTTTGATTACTAATGTATATACATATATATGTATATGTATAAAAAAGGTTCATAATTACAATACAGTTATAGAAATATTTCATTCGAACGATAGGAATGAGATCTCGAGTTTCTACGAGACGTCAGGAAGTTTAGAATAAATGGAACGCGTAAATGTATAACTGTAAATATATACATATATATATACAATATATATACATATACTAACACACATTAACAGGAAAGAAGCCTATCGTAATACGTTAAACGTTTCCTATCGTAATCGAAATCGTTTGAAAGTGAAACTCGATATCGAAAGAGAACGGTATGTGTCCCATACAAAGGTTTATATCTATATATATATACAAACGCACATGATACGCACACATAAAAACTTTACCATTTTAGGTATATATTTTCTTTCTCTTTTCGTTAGTAGAATTATTTCCTCAAAGAGTACCCCCTTTCTCTCACAATACTATATTATGCTTTTATTACTATTACTACTACTACTATTACTACCGTTGGTTTTTCTTTGTAAATTTGAGTTCTACGAGAAACGGTGGGTGTGTAGAAGCAAAGTTGTTGGCTACGATGACGACGAGTGTAGTAGACTAACGCGTAGTAGTATACACGTTTGCTTGAAACCGAAGGGACAAGAAAAATAAAAAATAAAAAATAAAAAATAAAAAAAAAAGTAAAAAAAGAAAAAGAAAGAAAGAAAGAGAAAAAGAAGAAAAACGGGACGCGAGAGCTCGAGGCTACCCCGTTGAAACCGGACCAAGAGAAGCAACACCAACAGCAGCAGCAACAGCAGCAGCACCCAACACATACACATTCATACAGAGAGCAGTTAGATAGAGAAAGATGGAAATAACACCAAAGGACGAAAGCGAAAGAGAGTTTAACGCACGGCCTTGCAGAAAAGCCGGATCATAAAGGAACGAAACGAGCTGCGGAGGATCGAGAGGAGTTAGCGAATCCACCACCATTACCTCACCTCACCTCACCTCTTCATCTTTCGACAATTTAAGCTAGTATTCTTTATTTCTTTCTTTGTCTATCTATCTCTCAAAGAACGCGACTTTTAGTTTTAATATTAAGTATGATTCTAACGATATATATATATATATATATATATATATATATATATATATGAAATATTATAATATATTTTATAATATATTATTTAATTTTATTATTAGTAATTGATAATATTCTATTTAGCGTTTGATAATATGATTAATTATTTATTAATTATTATATAATTATTTAAATTATTTTGTCATATAATATGACGAGTAATTTTATTGTATTATATTATAATTTATTATAAAATCAATTAATTATATTATATTATAATTTATTATATAATCAATTAATTATATAATTTGCAGATCACAGGAAACTGATTTTTTTAGTAACGAAATAAAATATTTATCGACATTAGATAAATTATAATTTGTTCTATAGTAATAGTATTATTCAATTTGATATTTTTTAATATGATACGACCTTATAATATCTCAATGGAATAATGAAACCATGTCAAAAAAAATTCACTACACCTTTTTTCCCCCACACAATTACACATCAATTTCTTATTTGAACATTTAAATACTTCCACTGTTATTCGAGAACACACATTACTTTTTTATAATATAATATTATTAAATGACTTATTGTATATGATCATGAACACAAGAGGATACAAATTTTCTAGTAACAAGACAGAGGTACACGATTATAAATCAAATCTAGGAAATCCCATGATATGTGTGAGAAATAATTATTGATATTATGATTATTAATAATAATAATAATTATATTATTATTATTAAATGAATTATATGATAATATAATTAATTACAGATAATATATTATGACTATGTCAAACTCGGTAGAATAAATTTCTACAAACAAAACTATGCAATTATAAATCAACATTTATATTAATTATTCGAACATACCATGTTATAATAAGTTTAATTATTATTTCTTTTTTGATCTTCATTAATAATATTATCGAATTTACTTTGTAATATAATAAAGTAATCATTACAGTACTACATACACCCGCATATACACGCGATTTTAAACATCTTGGTTAGGACAATTTTCTTTCTACAAACTGAGAGAACCCTGTTCAAACGAAACAGTTCAAACCTTTCCTACTTTCTACCCAGGTATATATATATATCAAGCTTCTCGATTTCTCTTTTTCATCATAAAAAAAAAAACGTCGTAATTCTGTGCGTTAAACAGGTACCGTAAACCTAACACAAGCCCTTTTTAAAAAATTCTTTTAGTATACTAGAACAAAATAAAATTAAAAAAAAAAAAAAATAAAAAATAAAAGAAAAATGTGTTCATTTACAAGTAAAAGTATACACCACTTATGTACAAATTTATGCAAGTATGTACTGCTTATTAAAGAAAATTAGGTGAGGGGAAAGGGATAGAGGGGGAGGGTCAATGTACGTCCTTTCTTTTTTGAATACTTCGTTTTACGTTGCCGTCTAATTAGCCTCAAGCGACAAGTTCACGCGAATTAAAGAAGACGAGTGAATCATCCCAGTTTCTAGCTGATGAGATATACATGGTGAAGAAGATTGAGAAATTCGTGTTGCAAGGAAAAATAAAAATAAAAATAAAAATAGAAAAATGGAAAAACAAAATATAAAAAAAAGAATTAATTGCATACCAAGACGATTATTATTACGAATATGTTTCTTCATCTTCTTCGTTATATGTCGAAAATAAACCGTGAACAGAATTTTTTTTTCTTTTCTTTTTTTTTTATTTAATGTTCGAAAGAATAAAAAACAAAAAACAAAACTGTAATTGGTGAACGTATATAGTTTAACGATTTTCGAGATTAGGAATTTTCTTACGCGATCGTTTAAAACCAGTTCGTGATTTTCTCTTCTTTCTCTTTTCCTCTCTCACTTAATCTTTGTTTCTTTTTTTTTTTTTTCTACTAGTCATTAAAACGATATAAGTACGAGGAAAAACATGTTTGAAATCACGTAGAAAAGGCGCCAACAGAGAAAACTTTATGAAGAAACGATTGCAAGCGGAATTCCATGCAATGTAACCGCCATCTACCAATGGCGGAAAAGATTGAAGAAGAGGAAGAGGAGGAGGAGGAGGAGGATGAAGGAGGAGGATGAAATAGAGGAAGGGGATTCGAAAGAGAAAGAGTAGAAGATGAAGAAAAAAAAAATTACCGAGAGACGTAAGAAGCGTGTGTGTTTTTCGCAGCTTATGCGAAAGAACGCGTGCGTGCGTGCGTCGGTGGTAACTCATCTCTTTCAAATAATTTCGCGAAGATTTCATTCAAATGTAAGATTTAAAAATAAAAAAGAAAACAATATATAAAAGAATCTATAAAATTTGTGAAATAAAAAATTATAAAAAACAATTATTTAATTGGTTACCTGCAAACGTTAGATAAAATACTGCGATGAAGTAAATTGCAGCCGGATGCCCGTTGACTGCCATCGTGGATATTTTAACCGATCCGCTTTTTCTTGTTTCCTCCTGGTTCTCCACTGTTTCCTCTTCAAATTCTTCTTCTTTGTTATGTCGACAGGTAAAAGAAAAAACCAACAAAAATTCTTAAATGTTTATCGTGGAATTTCACCTTTTTCTTCAATCTTTCTTTCTTTCTTTCTTTCTCTATTTCACACTAATATGTTTTTTTTTTATTTCACCACACGCGAATTTAATTATACGATCGACGATTAATAATCACGAAGTATTGAATGTTAAAATATAATACATATTTACTATTATTATTTTTTTTTTTTTATATATATGTCTTTATTTTATTTGACCACCACGGTATGAGAGAAAAATGTTTTTTAAAAAAAAAGAACAACAAAATATTTCGAAAGTACGAGAGTCCACACACGGTGCGCCTCTTCTTTTTCTCTCTGTCTTTCTCTCTCTCTCTCTCTCCCTCTCTTTCTCTTTCTCTCTCTATTTCTCTTATTTGATCTCCACGTCGTATCGTCACGCTGGCCGATCTCGAACTGTGACGAGGAGCGCCGCAAACGCGCTCGGCTCGGCCTTCGGTTCCGATCGTCAACCTTCGGTTATTTTCGTATTATTTCTCCCCCCTCTCACTCTTTTACCTACTTCTACCCACTCGTACGTATCTCTTTAACGCGTGCGTGCACATACGTATCTGTATATGTTTTTTATATGTATATGTACATATATATATATATATATATGTTATAATATGCTCTTTATGTTTATATGCAATATGTGTTTTTATGTATTACATTCTTACGCATACCAATGCCTAACGTTTATACACGATGTACAGGTAACAAGTCAAAGAAAATACCGCGAAATATAGAATCTGTTTTTTTTAATATAAGAAATAAAGAAAGAGATAGAAGTAATTAACTTTGATATGGTCTCTTATAGTTCAATTTCAAATTGTAATTATCTAGTGAGAAATTAGTAAATTTGAAAACGTTTAGTGCTTGAAATTAATAATCATTTTAAACTATTAATAATCGTTTCTTTTAACTTGTACAAAGAAGTGTCATACGCATGAAATTAAAATTTATTTTTAAAGAATGAATAAGAAATGCAAATAAACACACACGACTAGAATAATATATCGAAGTGTCGAAGTGTCGAAGTGTTGGATAATAAAAAAAAAAGAATATAAAATAAATTAGAAAGCGTAACGTAAACAATGGAAAATGTGGTTTGGAATAGATCGTGAATTTTTTATGGTTACACATAATCTAAATATAATATATAAGTATAATAGATAGTATATGTTGTATATATTTATGTAACGAATTGGAAAGTATGTTGAGTGAAGAGCACTTATCGATATATATATAACAAAGTATGCTTGTGTGTTAGTTATACGTTTCTAGATCACACGAGTCCCACTCCCCCACCCCCTCCTCACCCCTATTCACAAATATTATTCCAATCAATTAAGAGTTATATTAATTAGTCGCGTTCCGTCAGATAACCAAACTATATGACACGAAATTCTATAACAAAGAATGTATTCGTGTCGATCATTCGAAGAGAAGAGAAGAGAAGAGAAAAAAAACACCGTGGAAACAAACGCATGTGTTGCCTTGGATATTTACATTTATACCTAACACACATACACACACGGATGCAACGTGTATGAATATAAACTATTAGAATATTTCAACGTATGGATGTATTCACACAATTTACAGTGAATATTTGGTAAATTGTTTACATTTCCAGTAAAATTTACCTCGGTTGCATTTCCTCTCTATTCAACGTTTTCTCTTCTCTTTTCAACCTCGTAAAAAGAGAAAGAGAGATAGGGAGAGAGAAAGAAATAAAATGCAACACCGTCGAGAGAAACTGATACGTAAACGATATTTAGTTAATGGTGTTGCGTATATTATATACCGTTTTACCTTTTATAACAATGCTTGCGATTGCAACCATATAAACAAATATTATAACAAACAACAAGCAAGAATACATTTTATCAACGTAATAATCCCTACCCCCACACATCCCCTTCTTTTTTAAACAGTTTTAATCGATTGATCGTGAAGAAAAGAAAAGAGAAATAGAAATAACAAAAATTTCGTAAAGAATCACGAATTATCAGGTATATATTTATTCAAGCGTATTATTTACTTAAATACTTACGTAAAATTGTATGATACGATTTAACAAATGGAACATGTTGCCGTTCTTGGATAATATGGCTTACAGTTTCTAAAGATATATTTCTTTATCGCGACACGACGATCTCTATCTTTCTTTGTTGATACAGGTAACAAATAAAAGATAAAAAAAGATTTCACATCAGAGTACAAACACATATATATATATATATTTCTAAAACGAGTTAATAAATACAATAAGAAATATAATCAAATGGTAGAAGGGAAATATTTTATTTCCCATAAAATAGAAAATCTATTGTATAGGAGACAAATATAAAAAAGAATTAAAATAATGCTCGATAAATTCCTCGTGGATCTAGGAGATTGATGGAGGGTGGGAGGAAGGGGGAGTAGGGCCTACCTATTTCTCCGTAGAAACGTCGTTAAACTCGAACAAATATATCGTCATCGCGATACGACTGGATACTTCCATTGTAATTAGGAGCACGATAATACCTCGTGTACACAATGCCTAGGCACGTGATAGCACCTAGCGCAGCACTATTCCAGTCTAAGGTAGGTGCTGGTAGACGTCTAGAATCGGTGTGCATGTTTGCACGAAGATTTGCTTATGATGCTTGGAAAATTATTCGACTTATACTACTCTCTCTCTTTCTCCTATTATCTGTCTATCTATCTATCTATCTTTATCTACTATCTCTAACGTACATACACACACACACACACACACACACACACACATATCCACGAGTATAATTATGCACTCATACATTTATACTTTTTATTTGTTCCTTTCATAGTGTTGATCGTCTCGAGTAATATGAGTTCATAGAAAATAATAAAAACGAAAAAAAAAAAAAAAAAGAATAAAAAATGTTAGACTACCGTTTAACGCAAGTTCTTCCTACAATGCAAATTCCTACAACGCACCGAAAGATATTGCAATTCCTGTTTTCATATAACGCGATTTTCTTCACGTACACAAAAGCACCAACGTAGTATTAAACTGCAAGAATTTCAACTACGAATTTAAAAAAAAATTATAATTTGTTTTAATCCCTCTCGCAGTATACTTATTGTGTGTCGTTTTATTATAATTATATCAATTATAATTATTTAATAAATATTTATTCAACGGATACACGGGTTAATTATTATTATTATTATCTTTTTATTAGATATTTATTAAACTTCAAAATGATAAATGCATTTTGTGCATCATTCATCCGCAAAGGGATTTAATTGTGTATTAAATTATCAACTTAGTAGTTAATCAATTTTTTTCAACATAAAAAAATAAGAATAAATCGTGTTCTATGGATAAAAACTTTCGTACACAATTTGTAACGTATGTGTTAATCGCGTTTTACGGTAGCCTACCTACCAACCAACCTTCTTACTTCTAACAACTTTTAACAAAGCTGAATTATACAAGTACGTCCACGTGCATTCGTGAGATTATGTATGACAGCAAAGATAAATCAGCGAATTTATGCGAATAATCGAGTTATCGTGGTGAAATGCCTCGTGTAATTTGCATATTGCTTTAGGAAGATTGTGGCTTAACACCATGCCAACGGTTCTACTTGGATAAATGAATTAGAGTTTAATCGTACGGTAGTCGTTATAAATTATTTCCAAGATGTACTACTATATTACATGTTGTAATACATAAATAATATTTACATGTAAAAATACTTTATAATATATGTATACTATACTGTTAATACGGTACATTTATTAATAACAACCGTTGCATAATTTCTATCGTATGTATTTTTCTTTTTTGATTTAAGTATTCGAATTTATGGGGTTCACAAAAAAAGGAAGTAGAATATTTGTGTTTAAATTTCAATATCGATAAGCTACGTATAAGGATGGAAACAACATTGCTAATCACAATGGTTAATATGATACGTAAATGTGTGGTTAATTAAATAAACCTCTTTGTAAAAATTTCAACAACAACAACAAAAAATAAAATAAAATACAGAAATTATGAAACGATTAGATATACATACGTTGATGTGTATATCTAATACTTTTAACAAACAACACACGATAGTAATATATTAACATATGTAAATTTGATTAGACGATAAATAAAAAGAACGTTCCAAAACAAAGAACTCCACGATAAGAAAGGGAAATGGAAGAAAAATTAAAAAAAAAAATAAAATAAAATAAAAAAACGTTTATATGTATGAGACTATGAAAAGGTACAAAAGCGATGGAAATTAAGAGGCGCGGTCCAATTCAGGCGGGACTAACCTACGTTCCAACACTGAACGGGGATACTTGAAGTCAGAGCTCTTTTCAAGTGCTTTTCTCTTATTTAGAAAAACACCCTCTCTCTTTCTCTCTCTCTCTCTCTCTTCTTTCTGTTTCTCCTTCTTTCCCTTTATCTCTTCTTCTCCTTGGCCCAAACCGAGGAACCATCATCGTCTTTCTCATTCTCCTTTCTCTCTTTTCTTCTACCACCGTCCTCTCGAGATTCGTACTTGTTCAAATAAACTCGTCGACCCCATCAGCGCTATGGTTTACGTTCTTTCGTAAACCACCATCCCCTCCCCCCCTACTTATCATCTCTCTTTCTCTTTCTTTCATTCTATCTTTTTCTTTACGTCAACATCTCTCGTGACGCAAGGAAATGTGATGCTGCTTCTTAACCGTGCCTATCCACCTCGGCAGAAGTAAAAAAAAAAAAAAAARAAAAAAAAAGGCTTTTTACATATTTGTCATTTGTCACAATGCGTGGCGTGATGTTTACAAACTGAGAAAAAAAAAGAACGAGAGAAAGAGAAAGAGAAAGTGAGAAATATAACTTTTTTACTGTCATTTTTCGTTTTATATAAGAAAAATAAAAAAAAATAAAAACAAAAATGTCTAATTAATCAGAACGTTTATTTTTTTAACAACCCTAAAAAAAAAAAAACACTTTCACCTACCCTCACTCTCACGTATTCAAACATTTTCTTCTGACATATATTTCGTTCTTTATTTTCTTTTGCAAAAAATGTATCAAACAATAGAATTATTTCGAATTCAATTAGTATATTCGTCTCGTACAATATTATTATTATTATTATTATTATATTATTTGGGTCAAAAAAATAACTCGAACTTTGTACACGAAAATATAATTCGATTTATACAGTCGACATAAAGTCTTTTTTTTTTTTCTTTCCACTCCCCTAGTCCCCGTTGTTTTTACGTTATGATGTTAATTTCAAAGAATACATCGGTGCCTGTGAGTAGATAACTTCAACGAGTTTTTTCTTTTACGTGTACGTATATCATCTATGCACGTTTGTGTCTATGTATGCGTGTATCTACGTACTTGATAGTGTACGTAACGTATATAAAG